CTGACTTTTCTGTTCATTTTAAGCAGCAGAAGTGAGGCGCATGTCCGTGTGCGCAGGCACTATAGCAACCAGGCTCACACCTGCCTGCTTAACGAGCTCTCTCTCACTCTGCCAAGGTTAAACCTAAAAATGTCTGCTGCCTCTAAGCAGTTGTAGTAAGATTAACTTTTTCAATAGGTACAATAAGACAGATTTGACAGGGTTTTACCACAGATTAATAGTTTGTCAGTAGTTAGTATATGCCAACTAAGGAGAGCATTTTGATTGGCACACAGGTTTTTGAGATCTGGGCAGTTTGAGTTAGTTGATGACTTTAAAATCATCCTTTCTGATTGGATAATTAAAGCTCACAGTATCTACCTGTCTGTAGTTGATTTTCCCACATTTTAATTAACGTTTAACTAATCTAATCTCATTTAATGTCTCTGTTTATAGTCTGTATAGTTTATCCCTCTACTAACACACTTAAAGTAGTTTTAAAATAAAACCCACAAAACAGTTCAAGATGAAATACTTTTTATTTGCTCATGTAATGCCAGTTGCCCTGTTTTTCTGTATGTCACTCATTCGCTTATACTCGGGCCAATTTGTACCAATTTGTACACTAGTCTAGTGTATTTTTTCCCTCTATCTCTCTATGTCTCTCACACACAGAGACCAACACACAGACATGTATATGCTCATTATTGCTGTTAAAACTGATGGTCAAATTTCCAAGCACCACCTGAACGCCTCATCTGTTTTTAACCCATCACTGGACCAACTGTCTCATTCCGCTTTGCTTTCTGCTGTGGTAAGTACCGTACACTCAGTACTGCACTGTTTTATTTTTATGATGGTAAAAATACATGTTTGACATTTAAACTCACATATCAAGTCCAACAGAGTTCAAAAGAGTTCAAAGAAAAAAGAAAGAATAACCTTCGCTATCATTTATATATGTTTATGACGTTTTGCTGTTAGCAGCAGTGCTAACGCTAGCTTTAATGCTAATGCTAGCAACAATGGTAATGCTAGCAACAATACTAATGCTAGCTATAGTGCTAACACTAGCCTTAGCAGTTGTTAACTGACAAAAAGAATATTCCTGTGATATTTCTTGGTGGGCAGTGAGACAAAAGTAACAAATGAGCTTTATTATTGCCATTGTGGCTCAGTTTTAACAGTAAGAGTGCTAGCGCTAGCAGCATTGCTAACGCTAGCTGCAATGCTAACGCTAGCTGCAATGCTAACGCTAGCTGCAGTGCTAACACTAACTGAAGTGCTAATGCTAGCCGGAATGCTAGCACTAGCAGCAATGCTAGCGCTAGCAGCAATGCTAACGCTAGTAACAGTTTAACAGTAGCCTTACATAAGTGGAAATACTTCAGGTAATTAGTTTGAATTATAAAATAGCTGCTGTGTCTGTTGGTGTGCTATATTATTGTATAACTTGCTGATTATTAGTTTAGTGTATCGTGTCGTGTGGGCTTTGTATTTCTGTTAGTCTGATAACACTGTACAGACAACTAACATATTATTTCTCGTCTTACACTTTCAGGAACTTTACTGACACCTGTGCTTTGCCTGGTAGGTGTGCGCATACTGTAAGAGAAGTAGACCAAAATAAAAAAATAATCTGACTAATATAAGCTTAGATGGGTTCAAACTTTGTGCTAGACCTTTTAAACACAATTTTATAATAAATACACATAAGTGCAGCTTAATAATTGGGCTAAAATATTTCTTTCGTACATTTTTGTAGTCACACTGATTAGTTAATCATATTTGTATTTAAAAATATTATTGCTGAATTTAATTAAATATTTATTCTTTTAAAAAGTGCCCAATTATGCAACTTTTTGCACATGGCAGCCAACAACAGTTTAGCTTGAATATTTGTTTTGTCCT